ATTTGATCAAATTGTTTATCTACCCGGAGAGAATCATTCGAAGAAACATGCCCAAACCCCATTTGGCACGATCATTCAGAGTAACTTCGCCAAATATCTGCAAATATTTCTGCAAAGGGAGCTGGTTGCAATTGACTTAGTGTAAGATATAAGTAAACAAAAATAGAGAAAATAATGGCCCAGGGAGATTCTACACTTACTACGAGGAGCTTCATTGAATTTTACGTAGTTTTTTCTTCTCGCATGTTGGCTAGCCATCACAGAGATTAATATGGATTCCTGTTTACTCTCCAGATCGAAGCCCTGATAGTTATTTCGATATATCGCCTGAAAAAGCCTCGGGTCCTGACAAACTATAAGTAAGAAAGTAAAAGTAGATATAATTATACTACAGCCAAATCATCGCGTTTTAGTTCTTTCGCACAATACATGGAACAGTAATCTATAAGTTTTCGATAAAGTATAAAAATAAACCGTTTGTGCTCATGATAACATCTCTTAAGGGACGTAAACTGACGATGTTCTCATAAATATTCTGATTAATTTCCTCAGATTAGTTTGCGAAGAGAGAACGCTGTAGTTCTAAAAGCTATGTTTGAGATGAAGTTCGTGAGTTAGAGATTCTGGTCTAGTTTACCCGTGCTATTTTCTATTGTTAAGAGGGGTGCCTATCAAATAGAAATAATTAGCCAATTAGTCTTCAATACCATTGCAACACACATTAGTTCGATTCTCAGTGGATACTTATTTAACTGTTCCTTCAGTGAAAGCTTCATGGTCGCTTATCGCATAAGTGATTGTTAGCAAGTTAAATTTATAATTGAAGAGTAGTGCCGTTTCCTATTTGTATTTTCTGATAAAAAATAATTCTTAATTTTAGAACTGATTAAGTTCTTTGTGAGTTTCATGATTATAAAAATGTTTCCCTATTGTATCGTTACATTCTTTAGTTTAACAATTTTAATAAAATATTGCTTTAACAATAAGTATAAATGAATGTCATTATTTAAAGGAAAGGATTAAAAATCAAAATTAAAAACTGTCAATATTTTCTGTTTCACCGACACAGATGTTAAATTGGTGACAGTGTTATAGCATCCAATTACTTTCTGCCTTCCTTCCTTTCTTTCTATTTAATGTTATTCAAGTGTCTCTGATACATCAATTTCAACTATCTTTCCTCTAAATCAAAGAAGAATATCTCATTATCAGAGATAATAACAGAGATTAAGTGACGTGCGAACGACGTTAGTGAAATATATTATTTCCTTCTTTTCTTCTTCATTTCTTCTTCTTCTTCTTCTTCTTCTTATTATTATTATTATTATTATTATTATCGTTACTATTCTTATATTTCTTCTTGTGATTATTATTGTTATTATTGTTATTCTTATTTGTATTGTTTTTGTTGTAAAACTTTTAAATACCGCAAAAAATTGTTCCTCGGTTTGGAATAATCTGATTGAAAATCTTTGCAGTTTTGGAAAATCTATCCTTTCTAGTTTCCCCTCACTTTAGGCCTTGAAAATGTAACACAACAAAACGCAACAAAACTAATTTTAGCAATAAAACACTAGCAATATATGCAGGTAGGTGATGATATCGTATTTCTGAACGGAAAGCTTCCTAGGTTGAAGACAGCGACCAGTATTTAGTATTCCTCAATGGAATCCACGGACAAGTGTCTGTAACCATAGGATCCTTTCTATGTAGAGAGTATTTATTGTAGTCTCTTCTGGAGAGGGATGGTCACCGACATTTCTACTCTGCCCAAAACACACTCTGCGTGAATGAGTATCCACCAAGATTTATTTAGGAAGCTGGTTAGTATCTCTGCTGCGCAGACACGCCCCGAAACACTGTTCTTGATGTTAAACTGAATTTACTTCTCAATAGAAATTATGTAGAATATCGCCATTTACTTTTAAAATTTACATTCTTCGAATATGTATCTGCATATTTCGGCCAAATATTGGCTGCCAGAAATGCAGATATTGCCAATAGATTAAACAACTGGTCTCATTACACATTTCTATTTTAAATGGAATGACGACTAAATTATTTGTTTTTCTTGCAAAAAGCGTAAAGAATCATTATTTTAAAAACAATTACTACAAAATAAAACAGAAACCAAAAGAGCTTAGTATGACATTAATAAAAGATTCAAAATGAAATACAGGTTGTCTCAAAAATTGAATACATGATTTTATTGTTTATAACTCAATTCAACATGGTTTCTTTTCTGATTTGCACGTTAGTATAATTAATGTCACCCAGGCTTAGCGTTGAACAAATTAAGTTCAACCTGCAATGCTACCGGAAGTGCGAAAATGTTGTTGAAGTTTAAAGGGGGTATCGATTTTTGTTTCATTCAGATTAACCCTTGCCTCTTACGATCTCAGGATTTTTGAAGTGGAAGTTGATGGCACTGTACCCGATGTACACGAGAAACGTTCTAAATATGACCGTGTTCGTAGTTAATATTTTAATGTGTTGGCAATGTGCTAAATGTCTTCGAAAAATAAAACATATCTATAGCACTAAAAACATACACACAACGCACACACCCAAGGAAATTGAAAAAAATAAAATTATCCTTGATAATATCTAAACGTATAGTCGAAAATGCTCGGAATTATAGCACATTTGAACAGTTTCTACACACTGTATATCTAAAAAAGGAAGCAATTATTCGAACACAAGAAAAATAAGTAAAAACCTTTATGGTTGTAACTTGTTTCTCGTTTTAAAGAAACCTGTATAAATGAAGGATAGCTGCCAAAATACACTCTCTCTCTTTCTCTCTCTCTCTCTCTCTCTCTCTCTCTATATATATATATATATATATATATATATAATCGAATACATATTTTTTATATATGCGTAAATATGCATATCTCTGTATATATGTGCGCGTGGGAAACTCGTTTCTACGACAGAAATATTTAATAGAATTCTATTCATGGCCCAAAAAACATAATTATTCGAAAGTTAATTAGATATTACTTGTTTGGTTTATAATTCAGGAATATTAAATTCAATCCGTAATATGCAAGAAATAAAACAAGAATATGCAACAAGTTATGATGTATTTTATAATTAAAATGTAATTGAAAATAATACTTAAATTTTGTCGTCATTATAAATATATTTATAAATTAGTTTTATAATAAACACTGCGTAAAGGCTAATGATGATGGTAATATTAGCCGTTGGTAAGATTCGGCATTAATTAGTCGAGCAGCCAGTGCATATGTTTGTTGTAAGGTATAAATTCTTTGTTTTAAATCTGTTCTTAATGTAAGTATGTTTCTAATATCAAGTAGCTGTTTTAAGTATTGATGGTGTTTGCGTTCCTGATTTTTTGTTTCAAGCATTATGGAACGACTACATCTTGATTATATCAGTATTTTCATTTTCAGTTATATGTAAAGTACATTTCCGATCTTGCTGTTGTTTCAATTCAAGTGTGGCAGTTTCTGTTATTTAGTAATGTTTTGCTTTGTGATTCTGTAACGCTAAGGAGGACGTTTAAACTATACTTAACATCAGGAAGAGGCAGCTAAAGTTTCTGGGACACAAAAAGAAGTAGTGGAGCCTGGAGAACGTGATACTCATGGGTCGAATAGAGTGAAAGTGAGACAAGGGAGACAGCGCATGACATAACTAGCGAGTTAAGCAAGTGGGTAACAGAACTTGTTCGCGGAGGTTAGCTGAGGTAAGAAACTGTTTGAAACTGCAAGGGATAGAGTGAGGTGGAGAGCCATGATCGCCAACATCCAGAAAGGACATGCCACATAAAAAGAAAAGAATAAAATCCACGATGTCCGATAATGTTTATATCTGAGAGCAGTAACGGAAAATTATACAAACTTACTTAATATTGCTTTATTTGGATATTTATCTGGTTTTAAGAGATAGTCAGCAGAGAGTAGAAATTAAAGCGAGTAATCTTTTCTATGTCAATTACTCTCATGTGAATTCGTACTAAAACAGATATTCGGTTGTTGGCGATAAAGGGGTTTATCCAACAAATCCTTGTTCTCTCTTCGCACCTAGTCCCTCTCAAGAAAATATAACAACAGCCAAAAGATGGCTACAAAATCAGCTCAAATCTATTGTTTATGATAGATTTGTGAGGTCTTTCTCTTATGCATATATTCTAGGGAGAGAGTGATGTGGTAAAATTGTAATATCTCTTTTGTGCTGTAATTTTTATTTCAAGAAACCTTGTGAATATATGGGAAATCAATGGGGCAAAATTCTTATAGTTTAACAAATGTAAATGCTTATAATTGTGATGTTGGCTCAGATAATTGCTCGAAATTTTAAATGCAACTTTCGACCACCATCATCATAACCATCATAATCCTAATTATCATAAAGCTTAATCATCATCAGCAGCAACAGCAGTCCAATTGCTGACCGCTGCCGCTTTAACCTAAAAACTTATCCAAATTCTTGAACGGGTCTAGTTTGTGCGCTAATCTCAGCCGATGCTAATGACCTTTTAGTTCAATCTGTTTTTGTCAGCCGATTAGTCCACAGCCTGAATCTTTTTTATTAGCGCCAGATTGTACTTTTAGAACGGTGGTAGGAAGGTTTATTGGCCCTTCTGATGTGGCCATACGATTTGAGCTTTCACTCTTGAACGGTCGTTAAGTGATCATCAAACAGCGATTTACCGTATCATGTGCAGTTTAACACTTCGTCATCTATGATGCGATCTACATAGAAAAGTTTGTTGAGTTTGAACAATTTGTTTAATTTAATTTAATTAAAATCGTAAAAATCAGTAACCAAGAAAAATCAATCTTTTTTTACCATTCATTTTCTTAGATACATTCTTCGACTAATTAGCACGTTTTTGTCTCAAACAAATAGAGAAAATTATTAAATTTATTTTATGACATGTGATTACCATTTCTACAGTAATAGCGTTTTTCATTCTCAATGTCCGTTCCAAGTCACGATTCATCTGACAAATAAATAGGCATTCTTTAAAAAGTTACAGAAAGAGAGAGAGAGAGAGAGAGAGAGAGAGAGAGAGAGAGAGAGAAATAGAGAGAGCTACGATTGAACATTTTAATTAAAAGTCAAACATTTCCTTTTGTCTGTAGAGATATCATTTTTTTGTTAATAAGAATGAATTGTATTAAAAAATGGATTTTCTTTTTTTTCAAGAGTGCAATGTTAAACATTAACATCCACAGGTTAATAACGATTATCATAGTGAATTTGAAAATGAAGAACATATTTCTGTGTAGAACGACAATTCTTTGTATGCTATGTTGGCTCCAGACATGATATATGTGTTAAAATTTGTATATACACAAATCAAAAATATATTTATAGATAACGGACAGTTCTCGGCGTCAAAATGAATTCTCCGAGCTGACATCAAATTTCTCATTATTCTTGTACGTTTACATCACGTTAATGCACTTGTAAAAGAAAATCACTCAGTCCTACTCCAGCATTAGTTTAAATAAATATTTTAAAATAATGTTTATAATTTCGTCGCACAGTGTATACCTTTCTCTGTTATTAGTTGTTCCAAAAATAAGGTTCATCCTACACGAGATTTCTTCGACACATTTTAGCTGTCTAAACGCCAATTTCTCCAAAAGAAAAAAATAAATAAATGAAAAGTTCGAACAGGTTACGTCGTACTGGACGAAATAATCCGCTGTGTAGGATGATGACGGTGCACAGTTACAGCAGGAGGACAGACTCTATATAGGCTACAGAGAAATTTGCTGCGATACAAAAGCATATTCTATGGGAAACGTACGTTACACTGATATTATTTATAGCATGCGTAACTGATGTGGACCCAAAGTTAGGACCACGGAAGGAAAACACAGAACACTGATTAGAGGTAAGAAAGATATATTAACAAAAAGGTTACAAAGATAGTGTAAGTGTAAGCGGAGCTTACTATGTGCTAGTGTCCAATATTGGTAGTCGTACGCGGCTGATACTACGGTATTAGAATATTCTCACCTACTCCTCCTCCTCCCTAGAGTGTTATGTCGCATACTTTATATAGACTTGGAAGAGTCCATGTTGTAGGTATGTTACGGTCTCACAACAGTAACCATCTTCGAAATCTCAGCATCAGAAGAACAATAAAGACAAATAGAGTGTGCCTTTTCACGCATACGATTGAAGTTGTCTGAAAGACACAGACAATATTGTTAATACACGAATCATATACTGATGTTACGACCGTTGTCATTGATTAGAGTAACATTAATTCAAGACAATTACAATGTAAGAAATAAGTTTCTGCAGTGTTAAATTTACTAACTCAAGCATATATATATATATATATATATATATATATATATATATATATATATATATATATATATATATATATATATATATATATATATATATATATATATATATATATATACACACATACATACATATATATATAGAAAGATTTGAAAAGGTATCCTCAATATATCTGAATTCATCATCTAAATATAAATTTTAGATCAAAATAGAATTCTTTTCATTTTTCATTCAAAATACTCAAATTTTAGGAATACGTTTCCATATAAACATATACACACATACATACATATATATAAATATATACACACATACATACATATATGTAAATATACACACATATATATAAATATATATATATAAGATATAAAACACACACACAAACATATATATATATATATATATATATATATATATATATATATATATATATATATATATATATATATATATATATATATATAATTTTTAAAAAGTGTGATACAACGGAATATACTTGAAAAGATAAACAGAGAAGAAGAGGAAATTATACAAAGTTTAATTTGCTGGTGCATGTCGGACAGACCAAGACTGTCATTTTTCTTTTTTTTTCTTTTACGTGGCAGTGAAACATTCGTCAGACAGACTATTTCACTGACCGTCTAATGTCTACCGCCTGATGAATGCTTGACTGCCACACAGGAAACAGTCGTATCCATTAAGACCTACACCAGAAATTTGAAAATATATCTTCAATATATATTTTTTCAATGAGTCCTAATGAACTATTTTTTTAAGTTTTTATTATATATATTATTTGTAACCGAACAAGTCAATTATTTACGGAACTTAATGTAAAAAAATATCCCATTTTTTGGTTGATTCCAAGCGGCGTTGACAACTATTTTATTTATCCTGGTATAAACTAAACAACTGCTGTTTTGAAGAGCCTAAAAATTAATGAGATAAGAAAATCAGTCAGTAAGTTATGTGTCATGCGTGATACATGCTTAGGCGATCATGTATCTGCCGATTCATGACTGACGAGGCAGATTTTTTCACGCAGTTTGATGCCATTTCTTTCTGTCGTAGACCAGTTGCCATTCAAAGCTAGAGAGCACAGTCTGTCTTGCTATTTACCCATAGCTGTGAGGAGAAGAATAGGATTCATAACTTTCCCGAGTGTATTATCACGGAAGTGAAAGTAATGGATTCGACTGGAATTCGAACTCGGCTCTCCGATACCTCAATCCAAACTGCTATGATGCCTCCTCGAAAAAATAAACTATACTTAAATACCATATATGTCCAGTACATTATAGCCGCTTTGATAATTGATGTTACTATGAACATATTTTCTTTAAATAAACGGTTCACTTGTTTTGAAATATTGTTTACGTATTTTTTTAAAAGTAAATGCTAAGAGCTGTGGATTCTTAGTCTGCCTGTTCTTTCTTTATATATATATATATATATATATATATATATATATATATATATATATATATATATATATATATATATATGGGTGTGTGTGTGTGTTTTTTGCGTGTGTGTGTGTTTGTGTATTGCCTAAACTCATGATCAGGAAAAGTATTAAAAAAAAACAGCCAAATATTGTTTATTTCTTGCTGTGTTTATAAAATACATGTTCATTGACAGAGTTATTACTGAGAGATAGTTAGTAATAACTCTTCCAATGAATATGTATTTTTTAAAAACTGTACTTTTTTCCAATGTCTAAAAAATAGTGGCTATAAAAGCCTTGATATTGCATACCGACAACAATAGTGATAGCCGGAAAAATAGAAATAGAAAAATCATTTGGTACACTCACCATTTAACCAAATGTTTAGCAGTAATTTAGGGCAGAAATTTGTCTGTTTAAATGAGACATTTTTTTTTCAAGTAATTGACCTTTAATCATAATTTTTTTTAATAAAAATACGATGAAATTAAGTTACAATTGTACTGATAATCTAGACTAAATTATTAAACACATTTAAAAAATAAATCAACACTTAAATTAAAGTAACAATTTTAATTCCAAAATAGAAATCAATAAGGATAATGAATTATGTAATTGCAGAAATTCTAGAAATTGTCCATTGAAAAATAAGAGTCTTATTGGATCAATTGTTTACAGATGCACCATTCCAACTAGTAAACAAGTTTTTGATTAAGTTAATATTGTTAGGAAAAAAAAATTAAACGATGATAGTATCAGCACATATCTTCTTTGAACAACAATGAGTACCGTAACCGAACATCGCTTTTTAAATATTGTTGGTATTTAAAAGTAATTAATAAATCCTATACCGTAAAATGGAAAATATTAAAAAGAACGGGAATTTGTAAATCCTTAAATGACCCATGTCCCCTATGTTTATATACAAGGCTGTATATTATAATGTTTCTATAAATAAAGTTCTAAATCAGAGAATTGAATTAAAAGTAATTTGTAGCAATTGTATAATTTTTACTTTAAATAGAGTTAAAATATTTTTTTCTAAAAAATCTACGCATTACAATTACATATTCATTATTTCATTAATATATAATGGTCCACATAATATTTATTTGATCTTTTGATTTTTCGATTTTAATAATATCAGGTTTTATTGTCGATTCAATATGATAAATATTGCATTTTTACATTAAAATATACATACATACATACACATACATACATACATATATATATATATATATATATATATATATATATATATATATATATATATATATGTATATATCATTTAAACTGGCGGCCCTTTAAGAACTTACTGTTTCTAAAAAAAATATAAAATAAATCTTGAAATACTTATAAATAACTGTTTGTAAAATAAAACTCTGTGTCTGCTTCACATTATCTAACCTTTTGATGTGCATCAGTATGTCTTCTATGGACGCGTCTAAAGTGTCAATTTAACTAGACATGATGAAATAACCTACGTACTTCAACCTTATCACATTATTTTTCATTTTTCTGTTTTAGCTTTGATCCTTCTTTTGATTGCTTGTTTAAGAAATGGCCACAAACTAGTTTTGAATTTTGGAATGTTGGTTGCCCCCACATTTTTGAATCACAAATATGATAACGAATTTTTTTTCTGATTTCCAAATATTTTTCATCATACGTTATCTACTATCGCGTGATGAGAGACAAATTTGAATTTCCGAAATATGGAAGTTTTTTGTGTAGCGTTGTATAATATTATAATAAAAATATTGTAATAATATTTTGCTGTACGTTTTATTGAACACTTTTTAAAAGTAAATGCTAATAACTGTGGATTCTTAATCTGTCTTTTCTTTCTCTTTAGATATATATATATATATATATATATATATATATATATATATATATATATATATGTGTGTGTGTGTGTGTGTGTATATGTGTATGTGTGTGTGTGTGTTCTGTGTATTTGGAGATTTAATACACGAGATATAACAAATCGTAAGAATTTACTTTATGCCTTTCTTACTATTTATATTGTTGAAGCACACGTAACAATATCATTTCTAGTTTACCAAATGTTTTTAAATAATATTTTTCAACATTGTCATCAAATTTTTCCGTGCTCGTAAATGTGTTCAAAAGGATTTTCATTATTTTAATTACTGCGAATTTAACTTGCTCAAATGTATATAATTCACGTATGACAATGAGTATGAATTTTCCTCATCTGAAAGTTTGCATCAGAAGAATGATCCTTGAATTAGTAGTTTCCGAAAAGTTCTCGTCTCTGAAGAAGTCGTCGAAATAATATTTCCCTGTACATGAATATATCCATTTGCGTTTAATATATCTTCTTTTCTTACGTGTCCCAGTAATTCAGCACACTTTTCTTAGTGACTAACGAAATTTTATAGTTTTTTTTTTTTTAATAATTTCCAAAGAGCCTTAATATCATACGCGTTTATGAATACTGCTATCATATTACCTAGGGATAACATTGAAATATAAAAAAAAATACAGCCTCAGAAATACTTATAGAAAGTTACGAAAGAAAAGTTCATTATGTTATCTAATCCTTCTATTAAGTTCCATTTTTATTTCATGCATATATGCATAGATTTACTTATATCTGTAAGACATTTTCCGCGCACCTGTGTCCATTCCCATCGAATTTGCATATGAAGTTATTCACGCCAATCTGTCAGTTTGAGTTGCATACATTTCAAATCAAATCGAGCGTTTAGATGTTGTAGGCAGGGATATTTGCGCGCTTCGGGATGCTGAAATAGAGAAGGAGAAATAAGAAAAATGTATCAATATTGTTGCCTGAGCATATATATATATATATATATATATATATATATATATATATATATATATATATATATATATATATATATATATATATATGTATGTATATATATATATATATAAAATGAAATCGTAAATAGGATATGACAATATGCTGACCTAACGTCGTCGAAATCTTCCACTTGAAACAATATTCAGGCTTAATCTACGCAAAATTGCTTCTTGTTTTAACCGCTTGGTGATCGCACAGAAAAAAAAAGCAATAAAATTACAAGTAAAATTAAAGGCGAATAGAAGTTCCATTTCTGGTGGATAGTAACAATTATTCTCTAGTCCACAACTACTGCGACTGAATAATGCGGGATTATTTTGCCAAACCGAATGCGAATTATGTATTGTAAAAAAAAAAAGATCGTGAAAGTTCTAACTAAAAAGTAAGGAAGGAATTAAGTATGGACTAACTACAGAGAGGCTAGTAGTAGTCAAGAAATAAGTAAAATGGAGGAAAACTTATGATAAATTAAAAGGGGAATGTATAGAGAAAAGAAATGGAGAGAAATAAAGGCGGAAATGAAAGAATGAAATAAGCGAGAGAATGCTCTTGAATGAATGTATAATGAGTGAAGGAATTTGCATTTGAAAACATGTAGAACAACATAAAAAGAAAAGAAAATTGAAAGATAGAACAAAACTGAAAGAAAAGACATGTAGAAATAGATAATATATCTTATCGTATTAGTCGGAAAGAAAGATACTTACATGAAAATAAAATGGTAAAAATATGAAGTACAACTAAACGGGAAGAGGTAAAAATGCTTGGATAGTTTGAAAAGAATGCTGGAAAGAAAGAAAGAAAAAAAAGGACCAATTAAAGAAGTAAAGGAAACAGTAAAAAAAAAACAAAATAACTATGAAGCGTAACACGAAGAGAAGAGGTAAAGTTTAGCAGACGGTTTGTAAAGAACGTAAGAAAGAAAGAATAAAAGAAAGATTAAATGAATGAAAGAATGAATGACTGACTGAATGAATAATTGTGTTAAAAAATATAAAAAGTAATCTTTAAAAATTATAATAAAAATATCTCAAATAGAAAATTTAATAAACGGGGAAAACTGAAAAGAAAAAGAAAGAAAGAAAAAGAAAGAAAAGAAAGAAAAAAGAAAGAAAAGAAGGAATAAAAGAAAGATTAAATGAATGAAAGAATGAATGACTGACTGAATGAATAATTGTGTTAAAAAATATAAAAAGTAATCTTTAAAAATTATAATAAAAATATCTCAAATAGAAAATTTAATAAACGGGGAAAACTGAAAGAAAGAAAGAAAGAAAGAAAGAAAGAAAGAAAGAAAGAAAGAATAAAAGAAAGATTAAATGAATGAAAGAATGAATGACTGACTGAATGAATAATTGTGTTAAAAAATATAAAAAGTAATCTTTAAAAATTATAATAAAAATATCTCAAATAGAAAAATTTAATAAACGGGGGAAAAACTGAAAGAAAGAAAGAAAGAAAGAAAGAAAGAAAAGAAAGAAAGAATAAAAGAAAGATTAAATGAATGAAAGAATGAATGACTGACTGAATGAATAATTGTGTTAAAAAATATAAAAAGTAATCTTTAAAAATTATAATAAAAATATCTCAAATAGAAAATTTAATAAACGGGGAAAACTGAAAGAAAGAAAGAAAGAAAGAAAGAAAGAAAGAAAGAAACGAAAAGAAAGAAAGAAAGAAAGAAAGAAAGAAAGGAATAGAAAAGAATAGATGAAGAAAGAAAAGAAAGAGCAGAAATAAAGGAAGAAGAAATGTAAAAGAAAGAAAAAAAAAACGGTAACTAATACCACGTACATCTTTAGAGGAAAAAGGAAAGAATAAGAGAATGCTAAAACCAACTACAGTGTAACCCGGTATATAAGAGAAACCCGGATATAAGAGAGATTTTCTCTGGTCCCATATTAGGGCCTGTGTTAATGTATATAAAAATAGACCAAACCCGGATATAAGAGAAACCCAGATATAAAAGACTTCTTCTCCGCTCACGACAACTCTCTTATATCCGGGTTACACTGTATATAAAGAAAAGAAAAGTTAATAAAGAAGGAAGGTAAGTACTGTGAATATATTTAACTAATACTGTTAATTATCTTAATAAAAGTGTAAAAATTAAAGAAAAACAGAAAAAGAGAAAAAAGAGCAAAGAACAAAACATGTAGGTAGAAAAGTGGAAACAAAAATATCAGTGGAGCAAATGCAGAAAACATAGGAAGAGAGAAAAACAACGTTGAAAGACAGAACACAGATAATAGGTTGAAAGAAATAAAGTAAATAATATATTTTAACAGATTTGTTAAAGTTTGAAACAAGGAAATAAAGAAAACCTTGAATCTATGAAGCTAACGCATTTGAATTAATTCAAAATTTGGAAAGAAAGAAGAAAAAATGAAGGTAATAAAAAATGAATGAAATATTTAGGAAAGAATGAAAGAAAGAATGAAAGAATGCTATCGAGATTTGGAGAGAAACGATAAAAAAGAAGAATTAAATCTAATAATCATAATTTCTCAAGCAGAAGATGTAGGAAACGGCTAAAGAAAATTTAAAGACTGTAAGAAAAAGAGAAAGAAAAAAACAGAAAGTAAACAGTAAACAATATCAAACATATCCTTAGAGGAAAAGTAAAAAAGGGGAGATAATTATAAAAAAAAAACTTTTAAGAGAAGAAAATAAAGAATGTAACAAATAAACGAGGGAAAAAACAGGGAAGGAAAGATAGTGTGACTATATTAAAAAGTAATGCTAAGAAAAATGGAAATACTTACAAATACTGAAAAAAAAAGAAAGAAAGAGAAAACAGAATAAAATTCTACTAGAAAAAGCAGTAAAGAAACCAACAAAGAAAAGAAGGAAATAAAGAAACCCGAAGACTTCTGAATCGTCAGAAAATGTGGGAATTTAATAGAAATGAGAAAATTTGTATAATACAACGAAAATCATTACAATATACTTAAAGAGAAATGAAGAAAGGAAGTAAGCGGTCGTAAAAGCAAGACAAATTTGCAAGAAAGAAAGAAAGAAAGAAAGAAAGAAAGTAATAGATAAAAGGACAAGAGGAAGCACAATAAGAAAGTAAAAAGTAAACCAATAAAGCGTGAAAGATAGACTATCAAAGAAATTCAACATAATATTCAGATAAAGAAGAAAGATGGCCATTTGATATTCAGTTAATATTTGATGAATAAAGATTTAAAGATACAGAATGAACAGAACAGAGTCCTGTGAGTATCATACTGCCGAAGCTGTCTTTCCTCATTTGACATAAATGCCTTAACTGCCTCTTTCTGATGATAAACCATTGACTGTCCAGGGCATTCCGTGTACAATATCCAAATGATCATGCTTGTTTTCAGATTTTAACTATTGCAAGGCAACACATGATTATTTGGCGAATAGAATATGATGATATGAGTTTCACATAATAAAGAATTACAAATCATAAGTTATTAATACTACGCTCTGTGCGTCACATGTGATGCACAGGTTTTATTATACATTCGATTTGCCAAATAAGTTGAGTTGGCTTGCAGTCGTTATAAAACTGAAAGCAAGCAAGCGTCCCGTGGTTTTATATGATTCACATAATATTAGATAGGCCTTTCTTCAGACGTCCTGATCATTAGTATGGTTTTTCCTCAAACGTCCCTACTTTTAAAATCATGGCTCGTGTGCGCCACATATGATTCACAGACGTGGAAATCACATGCCCTGTGCATCACATATGATGCGAAGGACAGTCAAAGTTTTAAGTATCTGAGTCTTCTTTCATTATCACTAAAACTTTTGTCGTTGCTCAAATGTTCCGTCCATGGTATTCTCAGAAAACTTCTATAGAGCCACATTTCAATTTACAAAGACGAAAAAAGTTGATGGAAAATACCATTTAGCACCACTTCTTCGAAATTGCTAATTTTATTCAGTCTTATCATTTTGATTCTCTATTACATCAGTTACTTTTCGCAATCATTTCTGTCTGCTTTCATTTTCACTTTCACTTTCACTTTTAAACCCATCTTCTTTCATGGTTATTTGCAAGTATCAAGCGACAAATGCCGTCATATATCTGACGGGTAAATTGCATATATCCTTTTTCCTATTATCGCGCAATAGATTTCCTTCTTATCATAGAATTTATGAAACCGAATCTGTAAGTAAAAGAATATTCTTTCCCCATCAACGCCACCTTTTACTTTTTTTTATTACTCTTAACAATCGATGTTTTCCTTTTCTTTTTATCGGGATTTATTTGAAAGGTTTTTACTTCTTGCATTTCTATTTATTTCACTTAAGATACTCGAAATTTGCGTGCCATCAGCGGTTCAATTGTTCCCATGTATTGTCAGCTCAACTTCTATCTTTCACGCTCAAAGATACGCTCAGTTTTTGATTCGTTATTATCTTCCTGACTTACGTTTAATGCAAGCACTTATCCTTTTTATGTGAGTGGTGTCGTAAAGTAGTTAACACTCGCAATGTATATGCTATTTTTCGCTCAAGTTTTGTGTGGTCAGCTATGAAAGAAGTTGAAATATACAGGTGATGTGTTGAAGTGAAAGACGGTTTATAACAAAACAGGGTCTTGAATACAGAGAGAAGCTGAACGTAGATCAGATATATAGATCGGATTTCTCTAGGGTTTTATATGCAGGAACTTGTGTAACCAATAATAGACGGTTTAAAAAATATTGTAAAAGAAAAATTGTGTATACAGGGGAGTGCATGTGCCTAAATATACACCTTTGTTAATTCTATATAAAATTACTCTAACAAAATCATAAAGGCTCTAATTGAAAATTAAGAATTAGGTAATAACCGCGAAGATAAGTTATATAAATATTTTAAAAAAATCTATAATTTTAGACAGAAAAGCAACAAATATTGTAATAAATCGCTAAGGAGATGGTAAGTCAGGAAGGAAAAATGGTGGCGGATGATATCAGCGGATTAATGAGTTTTGTTCGATTAATTGGCATTTTGTACATCCTGTGTTTGAATATAAATTTATGGGCACGATGAAATAATTGAATAGCGGCGCGGATTGAGGATTTGGAGAGCCGAGTTCGAATTCCAGTCAAATCCATAGCATTGACTTACATGCTAATACCTTTGGGAAAGGTATGAATCCTCATCTTCTCCTAACAGCTATGGGAAGCAACAAGACAGACCGGGTTTTATAGCATAGGATGGCAAATGGTAAAAGGCAACTACCGCAAAAAGGAATGACAAACTACTGCGGGGAAAAAAAACAGACTTGTCAGTCATGTATCGAAAGATACATGATCGCTTAAGCGTGTATCACACATGGCACATAACTTAATTATTAAATAGCATAAAATTTATCTTTCTTTAAAAAAATAAATAATATATTCACGTTAAGCGAAACTAAACGCAAAAATATCATGGTTATCGCTAAAACCACATTTCCACCTGGTGACACATCGCTGTCCCCATGAAAAGTGTTCAAACGAAATCCATTCCTTAGTTTCAGCATTTCTATCCTTTCAGGCTAAAAACCACCATTTCACGCATCTTGTAAAAACCACATTTTCTACGTTCCTATTTCGTTGGAAAGATGTATGATACTAACCGCATGATTCTGCTAGGTCGAACCAACCGATTCCCAAGACGATGGTTTCACTATCACGACAGTTTTAACCTATGTCTATGGTTTTGTGTTATCCCCTCAAACATACCCCATAAACTGTGCCTCTTTTTAATATTACATCTAATACCTAATGTCACTCAATTTATACATATATGATATGACGATATATAATGTTGTACAATTTTATCTATCAACAAACCGTATTTAGAAAAAATAGTATAAAAATTGGAAAATAAAGGGATTGTGACGCATTTCATCCGTTACTATTTCCTAGGACTGGGCTTTGTTGATGTTGCTATGCCTACATATGCACACGAAATGAGTTCCTAAATTTAATTATTTTGTCTTGTAAATATATTGCTATCAGATCTTTCTTATATGTTATTATAAATAAATACGAAATAAACGATGTTTGGCATTTCGTCTTGCATTCCACGATAAGATTTATATATTATGATTTTAGCAGATTTCAAAAAATTTTAAACAATATTCATTTATCAAAATAAAATAACATAATAAGAGTTTAAATAGTAATGATGCTTCCTGTTAACAAAGTTTTTATTTAATTGTTCCTAAGTTAGATTTTACCAGTTTAGATTCCACAGGTGCATTTCGGATGGTAATTTCATAATTTCACTTTTTGTTTGATGCAAATTTGTCCCATTTATTAATATAAGTTACTATTATAATAGTAAAACGAGTATATTATCTTAATCTCTTACCATTCATTGAGGTGAGTTTAAGTCCACGTGGCAGTTGACGTAAATTTACATAACAAAAATGGAGCGGATGTGAGGATTTCTTTCGGATATTTTCGGTTAATGGATAGTGGCTAGAATTGATGAATCGGAGACCCGAGTTCGAATTCCAGTCGAAGTCATTGCATTCACTTACGTTCTAATACCCTTGTGAGAGGTATGAATCCTCTACTTCTCCCCACCAAGCTATAGGTGAATAGCAGGAAAATCGTGTTCTATAGCGTAAGATGGCAACTGGTATGCCGCAGAAAGAATTGGTAACTTATGCGGGAAAAAATCTGTATCGTTAGTAATATATGGAAAGATACATGATCGCCTAATCGTGTATCACGTGTGGCACATAAGTGAATATTTACAGCTTAGGTTTAGGTGCATGCGCGCGCGCCAGAGTGAGAGAGAGAGGGAGTGAATGCTTGCATGTCTGTGTGTGCGCGAAAACAATAAATAATGATGTGCTTGTGCAAACAAATAAAAATATATAAAGTCAACTGCAATAACAGCATTTACTCATTTTAGTGATCGTGATTAAACCAAACTCATAAATAATTACATTGGTCACAATACTCTACACCTATCCTGACGACTTACGTGACACCTATCAGAATACAGCTCCATTTGAACACATTTAATCACACACACAAGCCTACAAGACTCTATCCGAATAATACTAGTAGAAAAGGAATGCATAGTAAACTCATTTATATAGGAAAAAAGATTAAAAATAATGGAACCCTATTAATAAAAAAGAAAAAAGCCAACGCTCAATAAATTTAATTATGAACACGGGCACAAAGTGCTGACCGTGTTTGGAAAATAATCCATCCATTTAATTCTAGATGCATACAACCAGTATATTCATTTGAAAAGCAAGCACAAATAATCCTTGATAATGGCCCGAGGTATAGCCGAAATTCCTCGGGAATACAGAATTTTTGGAAAATATTTACACAATTTGTGCCAAAAAAAGCACTTATACGAATACAAGAACAAATGAATGAAATGATTAATCACAGTACCTTGTCGGTCGTATTAAACGATATATATATATATATATATATATATATATATATATATATATATATATATATATATATATATATATATATATGTATGTATGTATGTATGTATATATATATGTGTGTGTGTGTGTGTGTGCGTGTGTATATGGGTATGCACTAAATATATGGTTTGAAGTAATAGGATTAAACATATATTTTGTGTATATATAAATAAAGACAAATGGGAAACTTACCTTAGCTGAGGTGTGTCGTCTACTGTAGGATTTACCAATACACATTTGCCTTCATATGGTTCCTCAGTGGAACACACGCGCCGGCTAAGTAAGTATTCCTTTTTATCCTTATTCACATTGTCCTTTTACAGATATAGCATGTTTGATATTTTTACACACACACACACACACACAAACTTGTGCGCGCGCATACTCACACACACAGACGCACATTTGAGCACACACAAAAGTACGCGCGCACTTTACCTGCATTACAGAGGAAAAAAAATTGGTACGACATTGTTTTTTGCCTCGAAATTATAAAAATGAATCGTTTCATCTCTTTAAAGATATGATTTTTTCATGCAATTATGCAATGACAAATCAAAATGACCATAAAATAATTATAATACGTATTCATACCTTCGTTTGAAGATTATCACAGATCTTGCATTCAACAATTTTTCTTTACACCAAGCAGAAAAATATGATATTCCTCATTATTCTGAAAT